TATAATGGATGAAGTACACAAATCTAATGCACAAATCTAATGCATTGTCTTCAAATTTAATACTGATTAAAATTTCAAAAAATAAAAAATAAAAAATTTATGTCATGTTGAAGTACACAAATCTAATGCATTGTCTTCAATACAATGCAAAACAGAACCAAAATCAATTTAAGAATATAATGGATGAGAAAAAAAACTGCAACCTAGCGTCATATGGAAAAATGATGAGTGAAAACGACAATGCCATAGCAAAAACTTCAAAAAAGCAGATGAATACAAACATGGAAGTAACTGTCATTTTGATGCTATTATACATTCCAAGTAGATAATTAGCATGATTCAAGCCTTGTGGTTGATAGTTTTAATGTTACAACACTGAGAATTGCAAGGTAAGTATTAAAGAAATAAAGGGCAACAGTCCGTTACCCTGTGCAAAGCATCATAGTTTTAGCCAAATCAAGTTCTGTTTGAACCCCACATATAACACTACATCCATCAGAGTTTTCATATCTATGACCCAGTGATGCATAATTCATTGTAGCAACATTTTGATGTCCTTTCAATAGATACGCATGATTCAAGAATGTATTCAGGGTTAGCAAAAGTTTATCATATGAGAATGAATAGCATAAAGATCAGGAAAGGATAAAACTAAATACGTGGGCATGGAAGCAATTCATAAAAACTTGAAAGAGTGGTGTGAGTGTCCTCTGTAAATGGTGACTCTGGAAATTAATCAAATCTGGAACTCAACTGGAGAATATCCTCAGCAATATATCAATGTTGTCATATGGGAAAGATGGAACAAATACGAGATGGACAAATATTTGAAGGCCTAACCACATAACAATACTAAACAAAAATCTACTAAGGCTAGTGGAAATTAGTATTCAGGTCGATATGTGAAATAAGGATTGACTGTAACTGCTAAAACAGAAAACACAATAAAATACCAGATTCAATACTTTCATATGCTGATGGCAGGATGCTGTTGGAAAAATCTGCTTAGATGTTAAAGGAACAATCGGCTTAGAGTTTTCATTATAAAGGAACAATCGGCTTAGATGTTAAGAACTTCTATCTGAAATAGAAGTACGTGTAAATTAATTTATGATGGAAATTATTACATCCTAGAACAAAATTATAAATATGTGAATAAAAGAAACCAAAAAAGAAAAATGCAAAAGGGACAATTGTGAGGGAAAGAAGGTTGAGAATTTATGGAAATTTAAAAAAAAAAAAAATATCGAATACATCAGAGGACAGACAACATAAATGGGGGGCAATAGTTCCAGCAACTAGACCTCCAAAATCAACTAAACACTTAAGCCCCATCACTCATCACAAATAGAAGAACTGATGCACCAAATGATACCAATTTCTTTGCAGACACCGATTATCTCTAAAAAACTTCTACATAAATTCAACTCGAACGTTTCTTAGCACATGATTTCTTTTTCTCTCAGTTAGTAGTAAGCATACACTGGATAACTTACTTTTATGTTGAACTTTTCTTAATCTGCGAGCGGTAAAATTCCACATACATTCGGACTGACACGGTGAAAGCAATAGACGAATATAGAAATGGGATAAAGAGGTAGGAGGGAGGCAACTAGCGGCGAGTGGCAATGAAACCGGAAGGCAGAAGCCCTCTCAATGAACATGTGAGATCTGGAAAGCCCAAGCCATAGTAGGGATGCTGTGAGAGACGAAATAGGGTTAGGGATTTGCAAAGAAGGGAAATGAAGCATTTGGATTTCAGCAGGGATGAGAAAAGAATGTGGGAAATGAAAATTTAAGTGGGAGGGAAATTGCATAGAGTTTAGAAAATTGGTAACTATTAATAATTATTTTTATTTTTTTACTTAAAAGTATATCAACAAATTTTCTAGATTGGTAATTATTTTATTTTTTTTTTCCCAACGAAAATATCCGTCAGTAAATTCGTTGATAAATTATTTAATTTATTTTTTAATTATTTTTTATATTTTACCCACGAATTAGCATCGAAATTATACCAACGGAAGACTTCCGTTGGTAATTTAATATATAATTTTTAAAAATGATAAAATAATAATTCATTGCTAATTTGTTGTTAATCCATTGGTAATCTCAACGGAAAACGTTCGTTACTAAAATTCCGTCTCTGTAGCCTCATTTTCTAGTAGTGTCACTTGCACTCATATGAGAGTCGAGCCGACTCAATCCATTGTCAGCTCTAATAAGGATTAACGTTTCATTTTGAAATTGGGATCCACCAAGCATGAGGTAGCTCCAAGGCTATTTTCGGCCTTCCTACATGAACCCGTGTTGTAAGGGGTGTTCGGCCTTTGCATGGCTGCCAAGTTAAATATGAAGGACTCATTGAAATACTTAAATGTTTTTACTCTTTAAATTGTGGAATATATAGAGTTTTTTGGAGTTGATCTAAATAAACTATTTAAGGTGGGTTAGTAATAACTTGTTGTATACAATTGTAGGAGCCGGGCAAATAAGTATTCAAAAGATGATCCGAAATATATTTTGCTAAAAAGGGTTTGATTTATATAGATTTCTAACTTTAAAGTATTGCATTTAGGCCCCCATTCTGGTTGTTATTTTAAATGAACTCATAATCATGTGATACTTAAGTTATGAACTCATAATATACAAAATTATTAGCTTGTCGTTCTAACATTTTCGTTGTTATATTTTCTTCTTATCTTAATTGTTCTAATATTGGCCCAAAAGTAAATGAAAACTTGCAAACTCTCATGCTTGAAGAGATTTGTTATACTCGAAAATAATTTGTTGTTTGATACAGGAAATTAAAGACATATATGCTGATATTGAAGCCTCAAAGAGCATAGTAAAAGAATTTTTAAAATTATTAGAGCATCATTTACAGGTAGCTTTCCAACCCCATATTTGCTTAGATAGAATTTGAACCTTAGAACTTTAAATTGTGTTTTAAATCTTTTATTTATAAAAGAGAAAAAAAATTTTTTTTTACTCTAATGTTACGTTCTTCTTGTAGAAGGAAAATGCAACTGTTGAGAACCCAAATCAATTTATCGACAATGGGGTCCTTACAGAAAATCAAGGAATTGGTGGCTCTTAGACATTGACTACACGTATAGTAGATGAGTATCTAATAAATTTGAAGTAATACTAGTGTTGATTTTAACTATTATTTATATTTACAGTTTGTTTCTCTTAGATTTTTATTCTTCTTTATGAACATTAATTTTAAAATTGTATTTTTACTTCATTGTAAACATTAATTTTTTAAACATATTATAGAATTTTATTCGAATCTTTATAAATTGTGAGTCGTGGTATGGTGCATGTAGGTTATTGATGACCACTAACATATGCTCGTGTATGTACATCAGCAGGTTCAAAGATAATGTCTCCTACCTAGATTTTGATATCTTGTTGAGTAATGTTATTTAGAATAGTTTATGCGGCAACGGATCATTACTCCATTGTCTAATGAAATTGATATGTGTTTTCATACTTTGAACAATTTAGCAGTAATCTAGTGTCACGTAAATTGGTACTAAGTATCAAGTCTATTAAATAACATTACTTTTTTGGTGCTAATATTGCAAACTTTTAAATATACAAAATATAGGATACATCATACTCATCCTATAAATTTCTGA